TTTATATTGAGTCAGCTTCTTATTTTCCTCAAATGTGCGACCTCTGACTTTTCGTTGCAGTATATACAAAGTGCTGACACTGCACCGATTACATCTACGTACATTATATTTACTTTCTCTACATCAGGTACATAATAAAAATGTCTGGTGGAATTTTAAAAAATAAATTCAACATTCTAGAAATAAAAGTTTGATCTATCCAATTTTCACGAAAATTTCTTTCTTTTTTTTTTAATAAAAAAAAACTTTTCGCTGACTAACTGTTTTTCCTGTATCTCTTTACGCCTGTCTCGTTGGCACTTGAGTTTCTCCAACGAGCCGGCGGCAACATTTCGATCTTTGAAGATTAAACGCAAAGAAATGAGATGGGGGTTTGACAGAACGTGCACAAATAACGGTGAGAAAGAGAAGCTTTTACTTTTCTCGATTTTGCAGAACTCTTGAAAATGTGCAAGCGTAGCGCACTAGTAAAACGAGTCATGGTTTAAGGGAATTATAGCTAAGCTGATGAAGAGAGTGATTATATTTTTGTGTAGGAAATTCCACTTGTAAAAATACTCTCTTGTTGTATATTTATATTTAGATACTGTTATTATAAACAGTGGATTGTATTTCAATTAGTTTTTAATGGAATATAAGGGTTTAGAAATGGAAACTAGTTTCTTTATTGTAAATAAAATCTCACTGATGAGAGTAGATTATAATTTAGAAAAACAGTAGGCTACTTATTTGTAGAATATATATAGATATATTGTGATAGAAAATTACATTTTTACATTTCATGAAATCATGTTTAAAAAAGAAAACTAGATTTTGAAGTTTTGGGATGTAGTTGGATAAAAAATTCTAATTTCAGTGTGGAGAAGAGATTTAGCTAATGATAACATCTTGGATGTTTTAAGAAGCTCAGTCATCAGATTATAAACTTAGTCGTAATGTCACATAAATTTTCAATTAGACCATGCATTTTCAAGCCCAAAGTTTTCTCGATTTAATGTTTCATTAAGCTAAGGAATTCTATCACAAAAGTTTGCTGATTTCTAATTTCTTATTTGACAATAGTGTAGAAGAAGTATCATCCGTATTTTAAGTCATTGTTAGCTCGACATAACTAATATAATTGGAAAGTATGATTAAGAAAAAACTTTAGATAAACAGCAAATAAATTTTATTGTTATGTTTTTTTTACGGAGAAGGTAAGTACTCTTTGGATCATTTATGTAAATAGAATCAGCTTAGAAAAAGGTTGCTAGCAGAAAAAAAGAGATGAATAAATAAATATGTAATTTGGTCGTGTCTGACTTAAGAAAAATTATACTACTTAAAAGAGAAATAAAAATCAATGGAAACATTTTCTAGTTATAAAAATAATTTGTACAATAAATTGAATAAAAAAGGTAAATAATTTTTATGTGGATAAATCTAAAAAAGGGGGAAAATTTATTTTCAAATAATGATAAAGAATTCAAAAGTTTGTTAGGACTTATCCATGCATGATAATTCGTTGAATGATACAATTACAATGGTAAAATAATAAAAAAAATGCACAGTTTCGATTACTACATAATATCAAGTGAGTTTTATGAAAAAAATTTTTTTAACAGTCATGACAAAAGTGCACTGAGTTTTCATATTTATTTTGAAAATAAAATCACAAAACAAATTCTAAATGCTACAAATGTAAAAAAATATCGAAAAATGCATCACTGGTCAAAATATCCAGACATATGTGTACTATTCGTAACGTAAACTTTTATTTATTCGAAAAATTCACATAACTGAACAAAATTGCTTTACACATGATATTTTGTTTCACGTGAAATTACCGATTCCCTAAGTAAATTAAAATTATGATAAACTTTTATGACATTTGAATTTATTCAATATGATGTTGAGAGATAATTTCCCTTTCAAGCATCGAAAAATATGCATTTCCGGAACTTTTTTCGCTAAAGAATTAACTGAAACATTTGCTATTTTCAAACAGGATATTCATTCATTCATAGAGCCTATATTCATTCGATTTTATTACTAAATGTCCATTACAATAGACGAATTATATTCACCTTTGTTAACTTTTATAAGAAGTTTTATCTATATTTTTCATTAATAATTATCAGTAGATAAACAAATGTAAAAAGAAAATTAATATTAGAAAAAATATAATAGGGATTTCCATCGAAATCAATCCAAATAATTTGAAAGATATATCCGAATATTGTGATTAAAAAAAAAGTTGTTGGCTATTATTTCAACTCAAGTCAACTAAAAAATGAATCAGAATTATTAACGAGATTGAAAAATCGAATGAAATGGACTATCATATATAAAATTCAGTTACTAGCCATCGAGTAGTAATGTTTACTAGCGTGGAAAATATACTCCGGAATGTAATATAAATTTAGAAGAAAAATTGGCCTCGGTGAAAAATAACTTTATTACTACACAGACAATAATATCACTTTACATTGACTGCATGCATAAGATGTAGTTTTAACAACGTACGTACAACTACTAAACAAACCTTTGAACAATTGTTTTTCTCAACGATTCGTGCAATTTCGACCTCCAACACAACTTACACTTTCGTTCTTTTTCAGGTCAGACTATTTTATGATATGAGCTGTACAGATTTATAACTTGAAATTAATTTTAGGAGAGTTGATCATTTCTAATTCTTTAACAATCGATTTCAACATTATACATAAGTTTCATAGCTCCTTAATGTTTAATAATGTAGTTAATCAACTCATATTTTTAAAAAAAAATTATAAATTATGAGAGTTATATTGAAATAATCTATCATAATAATTATCGTTTTAATCTAATAAAAAGAGGTCTGGATGAAAATTGGATTGTCAACACTGCCAATCTTTAATTAAATTTTTGCAAACTTTATTGGGTCATCTTTATATAATTGTCCGTCAAATAAAAATTCGAGCAGTGTCAATACATCATCATTTTTTCTTAGAATAATTAGGAGGAAAAAAAGCTCATAAACAAACACACGTAAGTCCCTAGAAATATTCCTTTAAAAATGATGCATTCCGATTTAAAGGTCCTTAATGTAGAGATATATTGAAATTTTTGATTAATAAAAATGGGTCCTTTACAACTTCCTGTAAATTTATAAATGAAAGTTTATAAATAAAAACAATCATGCTCCAATCTTTCTAGGCATAAAAACGATCTTATAAATTTGAATAACTTTACACAGACTAGATTTTTGTGCCTGGAAATATTGAAGAACCAAAATGATAAAATTTTGAGGATCAGGGGTTAAATTTATGGTATCATATTGTGAAATAAGAATAAAATTATAGCTTGAGAAAAAATTTTAACAAATCAGTTAAGAGTTGCTAACAAGAAATTCAGTCGTTTGTCAATTAGCATAAAAAATGGAGACATGCATCCTCAAACAACTAGGGACCATGGGAATCTTTCTTATGTTATTCTTTCAGTGTGCAATTATTTTACAAAATAATATTACGTAATATATGTTATGTTTCTGACGTACACTTAGTTTTAAATAATATTTTTTCATCAAACTGGATCGATCCTCATCAGCACTTATCTAAAAATCAATAATCCTAATTGAAGCCTGATTAATTATTGCGTATTAGGATACGTCCTAATTGCAACAGTTGGACTTTGGCCATCAGTTGATCAATTGTATTAAAATTCCATCAAAAAATTGAAATGAAAATAAAATGGCTTAATACATAGACGATAAATACAAAGTAAGAGAATGTAATTAGAACAAATGAATTTGAGTCAGTTTGAATTTGATGCTCAAACAAATATACAGACTTGTTTCTTCAAAAATACGGTGTACCCTTATTTTTTAATCTTCAATAATTCTTCGAGTACCTAAACCTCATTAGAACTCACACCTCAATATAAATAACGATTGAAATGACCACTAGTCCCAGTTTCTCATCAAGTCACCATCAGCCTCCAAGAACCTATCTTTTCGTAAATGAAGTTGCTCCACTGTCAACATCTCCTTATTTTAACGTGGCTATATAATAAACAATTCATTTTGAAGTTATAAGTCAACTGAATCCTCGTCTAAACTTTGGTAAAATGAATAAATTAAATATACATAAGTTGAGCCTTATAAATTCGATTGCTTTATTTATCGCAACATTGAGCGCATTAAATATAATATATAATTAAATATTGAATTCCTTGGAACGTTTTATGAGGTTGTTAAAATATAGGCAAGTGGTAGTAGTAGCAAAAGTGTAATCGAAAAAGCTTAAACGTGCGGCTCAACTCTTACAAAATTTATGATGACTGTTACTTTATTTATTTCGTGTGCTGTTGCTCAGGATTCAATTTAGTTTAGTATACTCGGTAGCATTAGAGCCTTTACTTTACCCAGCACCATTGAAATAGATACTCGATTCGCTTTGCATCCAAACAGTAACGTGAGTATAAATAGAACAAGAGGGAGAAAGAGAAAGAGTTGCTTGATTAGGCGTGACATCCGATGTGGGTTGTTATTCCTGTCGTACGTGAGTCGTGAAACACGTTGACAGAATGTTCAAAGAATGGAACGATCTAGAGTTTATGAGTCAAAATGTGCCATGCCATGTTGCAATCATTGATTCCATTACATTATGGATCTGGTATTATTGTAGTATGAAATTTAGCACATTTATAACAATGTATATCACAGTTGGTGATTTAAAATTGAAACAACTTTGCCATTACATCATATTAATAGAATTATTAAGCTCCGAGAGAAAATACAAAATAGAATTTTGCCTTCACGCTTGATAGGATTAGAATGTTCACCAAATAGCAGGCGTAATAATTCTCAGTAAGTTGGTAAATTGGAATATAAATAATTGAGTGATTTTTGTCTGGAAAGTCAGGAAAAGTGGGAGTGTAGGTACAGGCAAAAATAATACCTTGCGTACTGATTTGTGTGAACATACAAAATGCCTGGTATGAATAGATACAGTATACGTAGTTATGTCTCAATAACTCACCTACAAACTAGATGTGCACTTTCACCTCTGAAGATATATGGTGGCACGTCTACGGAGTGCAACTCTAGTGTGGTTACTGAAACATAGAAATAGCAAATAAAAGCACGTTAAAAGATACTCAAATAATAGATATGTAAACTAAACATATTTTACGTTTGTAAAATATTACAAATTTTTAGCACAAAATGATGGAATTTTATGTCTATCACTATTCTACATCACTTCATAAATATTGAAGAAAATAGAAAAAAAAAAGGAATCGTGAGTCGTTTTAGCTTTGATAGTATAGGTCTCTTGTAAAGTTAACTTTAGTCTTAAATCCGTTTTCACACTTTGTGAAATAAACTAGAAAGGTTTGATAAATTGTTTCATTCAAAATCTAATCAGATTGCTTTGAAATGCATCTCAGGAAATCAGCTAACAAATAAAATCAATTGGAACATTTTAAGAGATATTGTTGATAAAAGTTGTCCATGTTTGTGACAAAAGTTTTCAATTTAATTTACAGTAGAAGAAGTGAGATTATTTTTTTATCATTTAAAAATCGAGGGTAAAAAAATTTACTTAAATACCCTGAAAGCAATTTAATGGATCCAAATTTAATCAGATTCAAGTTACCGTGAAATGCATCAAAAAATTGGTCATTGAAAGCATTGAAGCCTTTTGTGAGCCATTGTTCGATTCAATGATTTTAGATTATTTAGTATGTAATAAAAATTTTATCGATTATGTTTCAAAAAATAAATTGACCTTTTTGTATATAGCTACTTGGTCGATTTGTCTCGCAGTGATTGAAGTCTGATTAAACTTTCAAAGAAATTCGTTCGATGGTTTTTAAATATTTTAAGTATGACTTGATGAGTTTTAATTCAACTTTCATCAAATATAAGTCAATTTAGAATAAATAAAAAATATTGTAAAAAACGAAGTTGATAATTTATTCTGGTCCAAATTTGAGTTCAAATTGATTAAGCATTATTTTAAATATTTGAAACAAAAATAGAAATTGATGAAAAAATTTTTTAATTGTTGCTAAAATACAGTGTGGCGTAGAGAAACCTTGAATATTTTTTTACAAGATTTCATTGAATTTCGATCAATTATGGAAACGAGTTTTTTAATTTTTCTATTCTAATCGAGAGAAGGTTCGATTAATTGATTTTTAATCTCTCGAGCAGGAATTTGTGTAGTCTTTAATTTAATTTAGATTCCGTGCTGGTATAAATGAGGTTTAAAAAGACTTTGATGAATAAGGATATAAAATGTACCCACTTATTTTGAGTAAAGCTCAATTATCATAAATGGAATAATAATACAATATTTAAAATTCGATAATTTTAAACTTTTTCTAAATTATGCTGCAGATAAAAATCTCCAATAATTAATCAGAAAATGAATATTTACATTAGATGATTAAAACAAAATTTCGACGATTTAGTTTATTTTTTTTATGATGAGGACATTTGTAGAACTTGAATAAGTTACAATTTTCAAAAAATCTTCTATTAAAATTTTTTAGATTTTATTGCTTATTAATTTTTTCGAAGAATTATGTAAAAATTTGTCGTAACTAAAAAGATCTAACATAAAATTATTTATACGTTGTTTGTTACAGATGTTAGTAATGTTTGCACTCAGTAAACTAAACAAATATGTTCTAAACAACGTTTCTAGTATGTATCTATAGATTCGAGTTACATATAATCAATTGGAAAAAGCATTAAATTAAGAGAAACAAAAACCATCATGAAAAGATTGTTTCTACACTATAAATTTTCAAGGAGATTCAAAGATTTGCAAATTTTTATGCATCAAACAATTAAGAAGTAAATTTTAAAATTTTATTTGCTGTTGGCAATTCAATTCATTTACAAAAAAATTATTTAAATCAAAAATACCATAAATAAATTAGAAAAACTACTTTTCATATCAAGTAGTTGATATAAAAATAAGTAATTATTCGAAAAAAAAGATTTGTTATTTAAAGGCAACTTTTAATTAAAACAAGAATAATGAGATTGCAAGACTCTAAGAGTTAACTGTAAAAAATGGCAAGATTAAATCTATCATAATTTTTTCAAAATAGAGCCTCGGCCAAACACATTCAATCATTTTTAATGTTCCTTCGTTTATTTTTCATAGTTCAACTTCTAAACAATCACCTTCCTTATTTTTTTCTTCTCCGAATAAACCTTACGTTGAAAAAAAATATTACAACACATCACGTTATAGTTATTAGTAGCAAATTTAATCTGATTTTGTCTTATGCAACTCAAAGTAAAGCTTAGGAGGCCGAACTCGTGTCGCCCTGACCCTTGACCCTCTTGGAGTCACAAAGGAAGTATTCGGAGGGGAACACTTCCCTTAGCCATTGCATGACCACTCGACCTCCTATTATATGGTCACGCCAAATACGAACGCCCTCCTTCATAGGCCAGCTAGAAAATCGATTTATGTTTTTTTTTGCCACTTAAGGGATTCATTGTAAGCTAGCATCTCCTATGATTTTAATAAACATCCTGAAGCCTACTTATTTTTCTAAAAATGACTCCACTATATGGTGGATATACTTAAACAATACATAAGAGTTGGTCGATAAGTTTACTTTATGTAAAAGAGATTTAAATATAAGACTAAAGCAAACTTTATATTCGGACAAGGTTTTAACGTGGAAAGCTTAATACAACGTACAAAATTTACGTTGTAAGTTAGTCATTCCAACTCCTGGAGGACTCGTAAATTATGCCGTAGAATTATCGATCGCCTCAATACCATAGTAGGTAAGTTTTCTCTCTCTCTCTATTTCTAGTCTAAACAAGTCGGAGATGTTTCTACTTAGCTGAGCTTTTCTCGAATAAAGACGAATACAATAAAAGGTACTGATTCACCTGCAGAACAAAAGTTTTATAGTAAAACATACAAGGATTTATCTCTCAAAAAGATATTTTCGAGGAGAAAATGAGAAAACTATACATGCACTATATACTTTGCAGTATTTTCATTAGAAAACTTTCTGATAAAATTATTGTGCGGAAAATTAAAAATTTTTTAACTTTCAACAATAGTTGATATAGTTAATATATTAAACAATAACTACATTTATAGAGTTATTTTATAATTGTAACTCTACGAGTCAGTTGCAATCTATATGTAAAACTTTTACCGTTGGTAAGTACATAAATGCACTTGGGGCGGACGAATTAAAGGGAAGAACGCAGTAAAAGTTTTTATGGGCCTCAGGACGATGCGATGCTCACGTTCGCTAGGAAAGGCGGATATGCATAGTCGCCTATTAAAAATTCTCAAACACTTTCGCGAAATAACGTTGCGTGCGCCAATATTAAATATTTAATATGAATGCATAGAACGCAGGTTTCAACGCAGGTCGTTATAAACAGAAACTAGTTATGGAATGTATATTTATGTATATGTACATGTATGGTACATGTATATATAAATTTTATACATGAATACAACTTTTTTCCACCACTGAAAACGTACAGTCATTTATCGTACTTCATTAACATTTATCACGTAATGTTATTCGCTTTTTACTCTAGCCGTAAAAAAATTTCAATCTACTCGGGTGTATTATTCTTGACATTAGTTACCTCAAAGTTTTGATAAGATTAATGATATCAGATTTAAATTTAGCGAATATGAATTATAATAAATTGCTATGCCCAGAGTTAAGTTTCGTTGGCAACTTCTGCTCACCAGTGTGTCACATCGGAGAGTATTATTTATGCATTAACTGGGCAGTGAAGGTAGACCTAAAAAATATATTCCAGCTTCAATGAGGAATGATAGAATAATTGTCAATGATAATCGAAGCTTAATTATGAAATAAATGGGAAACCTATCCCAAAGGATTAATTTAGTTAATCAATCATAATGTTTAATATTATTTTTGATTTGTCAATAGTTTCATATAAAATCTTAATTGTTGAGCTGATGTCCTTAAGGTTGATAGAATGCTAGACTAGAATAAAAACTACATCAACTGATCATGCTAATTTTTTATTTTCTTTCATGTACAATAATTGTACTTCAAAGGTCTAAAAATTGTCTAAGCTATTAGTGTAATACTTAGATAGAACAAAAAGATAAATCATTGAATAAACAAAGTAACTATCAAACTTGTAATAAAATAAATTCAATTAAAGTCAATGCGATCCATAACTTATGATGATTAAGTAAGATTTATTATTGAATAAAAAAGGTTAAATAAAATAACCAATTCTGATGCAGTTGCTTCAATGTATTTCACAGTTAAAATTTTTTGAACATCATTTTAATGGTTGTTAATATTATTTTCAGACTCTAGTACATTAATAATTTTGTTCGAAAGGCGTGAAACATTTCAATTGAAATTTATTATTTTCTTTAAATCATTTTACTATCAACAACAAATAATGAATCATATTCACTGTAAATTGTAGTGTTTCAATTCAAAACACTAAGTGTAATACTACAATTTGCAGTGATTTAACAGACCGAGCAAAAAAAAGATAATTTTTTATGAATTTTTTACAAAATATTCGTAGTTCTGCTTTTAACAATTAGATTGTTCTCGGTGGAAACATTTTTTAAGCTCTGTTAACAAATCATTTTTTTTCAACAAGAAATCATTATTTTTATTATGATGCAATAAAATGAATAACGGACGAAGTTTGTATACTTTAATATTCACTCAATCGAATTAAAAAGCTTGAGTTAATGGATCATTGAAAATCATATATCAAAAGATCAATAGTAAGTAAACTTTAATTAAAAGTATTCATTTAATATTTTATCCACAGAAGAACCTTTTGTTCTAAAAAGCATTTTAACAACATGTGTTTGTGCGCAATACATTAATAGCAAGAAAATTATTCTTATACCTTTTAGGTAATAGTTTATGAAAGCTTTAATCTATTATAGATGCCTTTTCTCACAACTCATAGGTATTAGTGAATAATCAAGAGATCACAAGCCATCTACTGTAAAAAAGTAAAGAAAATTGATTGAATAAAAGATTTATTAATTAAAGCCTATAATCTATTAAAATTGTCGACATGAAATATGTTTTTAATG